CGGATTTCTGCTTTATCTTATTTCAAATTAAGACAGGCGGAAGTCGGGGATTTCACGACGAAGACAAAACACCTCTTGACTTGTAGTGTTTCTTAGGAGACTTTTGCAATACGCTCAAGGCCATATAGGCCTACAGTAAACTAACACCCTCATAAACTAACTTGACAAAAAAATTTTGCTTATCACAAAAGAAACCACTTATTAAACAAACTGAATTTTTCGTTATTTATTTTTAATAAATTAAAGTAAATACTTAAAAGCATCACTTGATATTTTCCCAAAGTTGTTCAGAAGGAATGGAGGTAGTATGCCATGACAGAAAATGACAACAAATTATGCCTGGTATAGTTTATAAGCAAATGACCGTGTTTCGCTGAGGCGTCACCCTTTTACGTTTTCTGCAGAGTTTGTTTTCTTAAGAAGTTTTTTGACATCTCGCGACAACCACTTGGTGACCTTTTAGCAGAAAAAGTGCTTTCAAAACAGTACCTTTGAGATATAATCGAAGTTAAGAAAGCGCAAACAGTGAATGTTTACGGTCACCTGTGTAGATCTCTTTTCAAATCATTCTGGTTCAAGATAAGAAAGGAAACGTATACTGTCCACTCATGATCGACAAGTTAATAATATTTGCCTATTCATTTTACTATCAAATGATCATAGAATAAGATATTTTACACAGTCGTTCATTAAACACAATGTGAAACCAGCTGTGTTCTACGTAACTAGTGATTTTTTGTATGCAGAACTATTATAACATTTTATATATTGTTTTTTGATGTAAAGAGAAGTTCATCTTCACAATGCTATGAGCTGCAATAAAAAAGACAGTGCTCAATCTTACACATATTACTTGTATTCTTTCTCTTTCACAAGCACGTGCCGCGCAGGGGCGGATCCAGAGATATTTTCTGACAGTCTTCCAAATTATCTTTGTTGATCCATCCACCATTTTTGACCGTCTTCCGACAGAAAAAATTAGATACCCGTCAATGTTAACTTAAAAATCTGACCGTCTTCCAGAAGACCCAGAAGACGGCCTAAATCCGCCCCTGCCGTGCGGGCGCTCACGCTTGCAAACAAAATGTGTACTTGCAGGTGAAAATGTCTAATTTCACAATATTGTCACCTAAAAACAAAATCGAAAACGTTAATTAATTTTAAGTGGGGGAAATGCTTTAGTGATAGTGGACGCATAATATTTTACATAGAGGTTTTTCTATCGCTTTGCTCCATGCCAAACTACGACTGTCACCGCACGTCACTTGTTTTTCAAGTTCCTAAGATCATTGAGCGATTCACTGTATGTATAAGAATAGTTATATAGCGAAAAACACGTGTTAAATTCTTTGAAAAAGCACACATCAAAGGTCAAGTATTACCGCAATTTCTGGCATCTTAAGAAATAATTAAAACTGCTTGCAAATTTCAGCTATGTTGTTTTGTTTTCAAAGTTTAACATAACATTTTGACCGTTGTGGGTTCATCTTGTTTTTCGGGTCATATTTAATCATTTTGCATACCGGGAAGATTTGTACAGGTGTCAATAACATAGGTACGGAATGCTTTTAAGTCTGCGTTATAATTAGTTTTTCGTTACTTGATATTTGTCCAGGTGTATTTTTAAGGGAACATTCCCATTAAAACTATAGGTTTACGCAGGTCGATCCAACTCCTCGGGGACTCTCGCTGAATGCAACCAGCTTAACATATGAACACGCCTCCTTTTGTTTTCAAAGTACTCGTATAATCACCAGCTTTTCTGTATTTTTCTCAGTGCCAGCAGAAGGCGTGTTAATCTGTTAAACTGATTGCATTCATCGAGTCCCTGCGGAGTTGGATCGATCTACGTAGACCGATAGTTTCAATGAGAATGAGCCCTAAGGCGATTAAGCTTGAGGGGAATTGGACTTTTAATTCGAAGAGGTGAGCCAACATGTTGTAATCCCTCGATTTCTCCGCCCCAATTGCACAAAGTCGTACAGGAAGCATTGGCTGGCAACGTATATACTAAACTCGAATCTCATTTAAGTCAATGCAGCTTTTCAAATTAGTGGCGCAGAAAAAGAAAAAAAAGGAAAAATCATTTGCTTCGGGAGGGGGGGGGGGGAGGGCTTTGTTCAAATTGAAAAATTGGATACGCTTCTATTGGACTCTTGAAGGAAAATAGTCCATAAAGTAGTAACATTTGCAGGACAAACACGCCAATACATATTATGCAATGAAGAAAAACTT